GCATTCCTGTGTTTTCCCTAGAGCTCTCCTCAGCTACAGCACTCACCGACACCTCACCAGCTTTGTAAGCTGCAAAATATCTGTGCACACACCCCTGCAAGTATCCCTAGTCAATGCTAGATGTGAGAGCTTCCTGAATGACATTACAACTCTCATTTTGTTCTCTTCTCATCTCGTTGTGCCTAAAATCATGACTCAAGTTTCTCTTGGTGGCAGGGACAGCTAGCATAATTCTTGGACAAATTCACACATCTAAATATTTTTGAGACAGCTCTTCTCTATTCCCTAGGAAACCTGACAGCATAGAAATATGTCCCCTATGCTAGAAAAACAGCATCCTGTGAGGCTAAGGATTTCTGTAGGGATGCATTCTGTTTTTTCTTTCAAAATGCATAGCAACGGGGAGAAAAGAAAGGATTTAATACTTGTTTAATACTCTTAAAACATCCTGAAAATAAGTAATGAGCTAGTTTCCCTTTCTCCTTCTCAAGAAGATCAAAAATATACTTCGCTGTTGTGGGACTCCTCTCCTAATCCCTGATGAAAAAGGAGATGTCTGTTGTAGCACAGTACCCCATTTTCCACCCTTCAGCCTACAATTAAATATCCCAGCTTCACATCTAGTATAAATACTTCAAATTGCATTTAATGTAAAAAAAGACATTTACTAGGCTGCCTTAAATGCACAAGAAAAATATCAAGGGCAGTTGTATCAGTGATTTTTGTACTTATACTTGCAATACTATGGAACACAACACAGTTAAAAAGGGAAAGTGAAGTTTGCAAATCAACATTAATTATAATTTTACACTGAAGTACTCAAAAATAGTCAAATTCATGCTTAATTTTGATGCAGGATTGCATGCAAAGCCCTCTAAAAAGGGATCATGCTCTTCTCAATAAATACTGTTGCTCCAGAATCTTACTTGCCTACACAGGGATGGAGGCTACACAGTTCAGGAAAGCTTCCCACACCTTAACAGTTTAAATCAGCTGTTAGTGGAAGTGAAAGGAAAGAGAGAAGACTAAGAATAAAGATCCAGAAAGAGTTCCAGGAAGAAATCTTGCTAACATTTACACATTTGTGGTTAAGCAAACACTTATAAAACACTACATCTTACAGTAAAAATTTTCAAAGAGCAAGAAAACAGATTTAAAAACAGCACCTCAAGAAAGTGGCATAAGCCAAACACATTCTTCACAGAATAAACTAGAAGGTACATCATACTTATGTCAAATTTTCAGCTACAATTGTTAATATATACAAGTAATACATCTCAAATTTCCATTTCTGCAAATCTTAATTTCACAACTTCTCACCATTTTCTCTTTTAAAATGACCTAGGTATACATCAGCTCTAGTTTTTACCCTCTTGCTTTGGTTTAGCAGAAGACTGCAGCAGACCAGAAACAGAGCACCGACTTCAGGTAGGCACCAAGTTGATTTTACAGGGTTTTGTCGAGGCCTATTTTTTATTATGCCATTCAACTACCTCTTGTTTAAACAGGTACCCTTCCAGCCTGGATTATAAAATACTCAGGAAAAAGGGACCATGTCTCTTCCACTCTAAAACCCTAACTTTTAAATATTTTTAAAAATAAATTATTTGATTTTAAACACACAGCCCCCGCCTTGCTGTTGGAAACAACTGCAGAATGTAAAAGGTGTCACTGTTTGGTTCACTTTATCAACACTAATCAGTCTACTGCTTGTTCTTGTAGTATTTGAAAAAAAAAAAATCATTAAAATATTGCATATAACTCACTCAAAAATAAGGATTAAAAAGAACCCATAGCAAAAAAGCTATGAGTCACGCAGTTCAATTTCAGTTCATGCAACAATGACTTTTCTTCTGCTGCCTTATCACGCATACACCAGATGAGCTACATTTAGACATGCAAAACATCTTAAGAAAAAAGTTAATTTCTAAGATGATAGTGAAGTACAGAAAAGGAATGAAGAACTTGCCACATCTCAAACATGAAAAATAAATATAGACTTCAATACCAGAGTGTTCTATTTACCTGTACTACCAAAACATCCTGCAGTTACGACATTTTTCTTAAAATTAATATGGGAACAGTTCTAGCCATGTATATAGAAAGTAAGAATTTACCCGCATCATTTCATTCTCTAGTTGTTTTTTCCGATGCAAACGTTGCTGGTGTGACTTGAGTATATTCTCTACATGCTGCTCCATGAAGAATTTAAAAGCCTGAGGGGAATAGCTTTGAATACGAGACTCTCTTCGTTCTTCATCTTTTTTGTTTTTTCTAACAGGAACCGGTGATGTTGTAATTTGCTTCTTTTCTTTATCTGCTGAATCAACGCATTCGTAATTCTTTTCATTCTCATCCTCCTTGGCTAAAATGGGCGGCTCCTCCTTGTTGAGCTTGGGTCCCGTCTCGTACAGACTGACAGAGGGATTCTGGTGCAGCAAGTGTTTTGGGTAAGGCGGTGGGGGCCCCTGGTAATTGGGAGCCTCTGCCACAGGAGACATAGCCGCCATATTTGCAGATGGGCTGTCTGGGAAGGGGATGGTGGGAACGGATGCCATGGGCTGGGGCATCCAGGCAGGGTGCGTGGGGGCCAAGGCAGTCTGGAGCTCCGGCTTCAGCACGCGCATGCTTTTAACGGGCTGCTGGATGGGGGCTGGCGTTATGGCTGTCACCGTCGTCGCCAAAGGCTGAGAGCTGCCAGAGTGACTCTGCCTGTTCCCGTGATGGTTGTTGAAGGAATTTGACCGCACGGGGACGTTGGGCTGCCAGGCAGGCAGGTCGTGCCCGTTGCCAGGTGACGACTGCGGCTGCACAGGGGAGGGCTGTGACCAGGATGCAGGGATTCCAGCCACGTTTGTATTGTAAAGTTCCAGGTTATGACTATTTCTGTTTGGTACCATCATCGCCTGAGGAAGGTTCCCATTGGTGTACGCCGAAGGAGGAGCAGATCCTCCCGACTGCATCTGTAGCGCTGTGGGACTTTGCCTGTTAGTTGAATTCATGGGGTACGGGGGTGGCTGGCGACTCACCGAGTTCCCAGGAACCACGTTCTGGTGAACTATGAATTCTGCCTGACAATTGCCATTCTGCATTCCAGCTCTTCCCGAGGGGAAGCTGAACTTGCTGTTGGCAGAACTCTGCATGATTATCGGTTGCCTGCCGATGGGGACGGCGCTCATGCCCCTCTGACCCTGTGCAGAAGAACTGATGGGTGGAGGGTTCATAGGTGGAGGGGGATAACCATCCTGCCACGTGCCTGGTGGCACTGGAGAAATACGGGAGATCACATATTCCATGTTTCCGGAGTAACGCTTTGTCTGAGAGCTTGGTTCCCAGGAAGGAGGTGGAGGAGTAGTTCCCCTTGGAGGGGGTGTCTGTCCTCGAGGAGGTGGAGGAGGAGGAGTGACACTCCTGATCTGTGGCAGAGGCGGGGGATTCACTCGCTGTCCGTTGCCAGGATGAGCCTGAGCGAAGGCGGCAATACCGGACCCAGATAAGGGCCTGGCGACGTCCGGCTGGGAGCTGGGGCTCTCGGAGCGGTACGCGACACCGTCCCCCAGGGAAGGGCCGTGCCTCTGAGGAACCAGGGACTCCTTGGAGCCCTTCCAGCTCTGCTTGCGGTTCACCGACTGCTGTACAGCCCCTGCTTTTACAAAACAGAACACAGCGTTCATATGATTAGAAATCGTTTCTGTTTAATGCTTTGAATAATTTTATTCTCCTGCATTAACTGCTACAGAAAGAGGATGGGAATTCTCCGACACAGCATAATCCTCTGTACTTCAGGTTAAAAATTTATCTGATAATATGCAGCAAGCTACAGTAATATGTTCAGTACACAATGTTAAGAGCAAAAATAAAAATGCAAAGAAACTACAGTATCAGAGGATTTTAGAAATCCCTTTTCTGAAGATGCACTTTGCTTCAATTACAAGTACACTCTATTTAATAAAAAACCAGTAATACACCAAATTATTAGGCATACTGTTTGTTTTTAATTATAGTACAAGCTATTCTCAATAAGGATGTTCAGTACAAATGCAAAAAAAAGCAACAGCATGAAAAAACAGGTTTCATCATGTTGTTATTCCTTCCAGTTAAATATATTATAATGAATGAAGTATTCTTAAACTAAAATTTAACAGAATGCAGTGAAATCAAACAGCCTGCTTATACCCTTGGTATGCACACAATCCAAAACTGTTATATTCCTTGCATGGAAAATTTGATTAAGTACTTAAAAAGTTACATTTTTATGGGTAAAAGTGTTACTTCGAGGCAAGAATTCAAACTGTATGGAAGTAAAACTTACAAAAGCCAAACTCTACTATATATTCACTTTTCAGATGTTATTGTGAATCACGTGAACCAAATAATATGCAAGGAACCAATAGTGCATGCAGTCTTAGTGCTTTTCACAATACTACTACTGTGATACTTGCAAACACACACAGTACTGTAACTGCTGACAGTCACTGTATCTTCAGTAAATGCGTTACCATATCACAAGTAACAACTAAAATAATGACTAAATGGTGGGATTTAGCTAGCAGATTCATACCAGCACCCACTAATCCTGCTTTACTGGCTAAATGAACACAAAGCTGTAGTTTGCTACTCTCGACTTAATTTTTCCTCATATGGCTGATTAAAAATGTAATTTTACAGACCTAGCAGTTCAACAGCCAGCTTCAGTCAAATAGAAGTGCATTTGAAAGTTACCATTTGTTTAGGTGTATGCTACTAAACATCAAGATACATTAAAAATGTGCTTGCATATGTTAGAAGAGCAATAATAGCAAAAAGCAAAATTCTGACTCCGTTGCTACTTAAACATGAAGTCTGTCTTAAAAACTATAAAACAAAAACTGGAACCAAGCAGAAAATTAAGCCGAGAGACGGATCTTGAAACAGGACATCCTAAAACACAAATATTGAAGCCATATAAGTACAAACATATACATGCACAAGTAATATATACATTAAAATTGTGTATATAAATATATATATACACACACAAAAGTACACATATGTAGTGCTGCTGTACAGGAGAGCATGTGAAAAGGTAGACATAAATTAAGAATTCAGTGCTCACCACTGACTTGTAAATGGCACCCGATGCCGAGAACAAAATCAGAGCATCACACCAATGAGGGACGAAAAATCCTAAACGAGATCTGAATGCCATTACTTGTATACAATACAAAAACCTCACAGTTAGAAAAAGAAATGTACAAGAAATTAATGTCAGACGCACCTCTCTTTCAAAAGAATTATATACTTTACATGCTATTTTTAAAAGGAAAAAACTGTCTCAACATCTCCTCTGCTCTCTTATGAGCACGTGAAGGAAGAATTTGTCATTTTCTATATTTCTCCTATGAGGATGCGCTCGGTGGGTCCCCAAGTTGCCATGGATGCACCTACCTGGTGGTTTCACACATGCGTTGACAGGCCTTGCTGCTGCTGCAACCATCTGCTCTCGACGGGGGTCCTGGTAGCTCATTTTACTTATAAACTCAATGGCGGCTTCTATACTGCGGTTGTTAGTTTGTCTAAGAGCTTGTATAACCATATCCTACAGAGAAAATTATATTTAAAAATTAGTTACAAGGAAATGGAAAAAGAAATTACCAAAAATCATGGTTATTTAGCCAAATGTCCTCCTGTAATCTTAATAAAGTATGCCACTGAGTTCTCTCCACTGATTTTGGCCAGTGCTCTGAACCACCTCATCTAGCTGAGGATGTCCCTGCAGGGAGATTGGACTAGACGACCTTTAAAGGCCTCTTCCAACCCAAAGCATTCTATGATTTAAAACTGATCTTAAAATGTTTTCTCCACAACAGATTCTGCAACACACTCATATAGTCTGGATCTTCATGAAAAAAAGTTTGTTTATTGAAGCACTGTAGTTTGATGTAAATTGTGTCACTTTGCTGTTCATACAAATAGTTTGCTCTGATACACACTACCCAGGTAACAGCCAGTTACATTACAACCAGAGGTCCCTCCTAACCCAAGTTATTCTATGAAAGATACCCAGAGTTCTGAATTTCATGTTAGGCTTCTGCTCATTTTCCTTCAGCTCAGCACAACCTTCGGTCAACATATAACCACTAGGCTTTCCCCTAAGAATTATTTCTGCTGAAGACACATTATCAGCAGAAATAGTATTATTTTTCTGGTAGACTCGGGCTCTGTGTTCTTGGAGATCCAAACCCAAGTTTTAACCTGATGGCCAATCTGTCCATGGAAAATGTATTATGGACCAGTGTTTTTTCCCACTGACTTGAATGAGACCGGGGTCAAGCAATGGAACCAGAATTTCACAGACATTTAAAATTCAGGCACTGCTCTCTGTGTTATACTGCACAGGATCTGTGCAGCTGACTCGGCAAGTCTGAAACAAATCCACAGCATAACTCTCTATACTTAAGCACTGTCTTTAGGGATTTATGACCATACTTTGTCATACAGAAGCAATCATTTCAGCTCACCTTGGGTTTGAACAGGCTACCTACATGCAACAGCATTCACCTTCTACTAAAATCAATGGGAGATTAAGGAGAGCTCGGAAGGGAAGTAGTCAATGTCAGATTCAAAGTCAACCCAACATGAATACTTTCACCATGCCTGTGTATGTTTTTAACACCAGAAACATACAAAATTACATACAGTCTTCAGAAAAAAATTCAGTGAAGAAAGCAAACCCTTACAAAATTATTTTAAAAAATCCCAACATATAATTTGTCACATCTACAGACCAATCAATATTGATGGCAAAAGCAAATCCACCTTTTGGCCTCATAGCTCCTTCACCGTACAGTTATGTCTGCAACACTTCTGCTACTATAAGCCAGACTGACCCATGGCAAAGAGGTACATTTTCATCACTGGTATGATAGGTGATCATTATGCAAACAGAAGGTTGAGATGTCCAGAGTATTTAATTTCCAATTTGAATATACTTTTATAGAACCCGTCATTCATTTCTATCTACTGACTTGATTTTCTTCTTAATCAGTTTTGAAACCAAATTCACTGTCTTTTTTAGCTAAGTAATTCTACTATATGTAAAGCTAAACCTACAAGTTCACATCACCAAGTCATAAAGCCACACAGAATCTCAAAGTACAGAGCCAGCAATATCTTAAGAGATGACATCTGGCTCCCTCTCCATTAACCAGAGAACCTGGGTAAGAGGCAAAGGATCTCTCTCCCCCTCAGCTGAAGAAAAAAAACCTTGGTCACCCATGTGACATGAAGCATTCAATGACTTGAAGATAGCACCTTGCACAGAACATGAGAGTGCTGAACTTGAATCCTAATAAGCAAGAGAGATTTTCTGTAAGCTATTCGGGATTTTCAGTTTAAAAATTGACAACTGCATTCTCCCATAATTACGACACACATACAAATATTACTACCTACATAAACATTATACACATATATAGTAACACCTGATATTGATAGATAGGTATCTGTCTGCTCAGCTTTAACCCTGAATACTACCTGCTACTTGAGGGGTGGAAGAAATAACCAAACCCTTTTTGGCATTCAGTATACTAAAAAAGCAGCAAAAATCGGCTGTTAATGGCTGACCAACACATCCCAGCTACAATCAAGACCATGAAACAATCCCAGCTCAAAATACATTCTAATTTCTTTCCTATTTGCTGCCTCCAATACCTTCCACCAAAGAAAATGCTTTCCTACTTCAGCTGTATCTGTTCCTGGTGGTGTTCCCAGGCCAGTGCCATATGGACTATTGTGGCAACACAGCTGCAGGTTAACACATGGCAGAAACAGCTTATGCTGGCACTGTGCCTTAAAAGAGGTCCATGCAACCATGTCCTGGGAATTCTCAGTTGTCTCCAAAAACAAAGGGTAGGAACAAAATGCTTCAAGGTACAAAGGATCCAACAAAAATATTGACCTAAGATACCTTTTAGTTTATTATCCAGCCACACACCATTCTTCAATCTGCAAAAATAACTGCAGGTTCAATCTGTAAATATGAATCTGAGAGCTGATCTTATTTTAGAACAAAAGAGAACAGAAAAATCAACCTCAGCAACAAACCACAGAGCAGGACCAAATTATCACAAAATCATTTATCATTATAAAATCCTTCCATTCTTACTGAAAACACAGCCTGGCCTATGTGTCTGAGCAAGTGAAAGGAAAAAGAAAAACCACAATCAGCATCCAACATGGGAATATTGTTGAGGAAAAGCTGGCTGGTAGTTTTGGAGCAGCTGACTCTTAGTGGAGGTGTATCCTTCTGTCAATACCGAACCATCGTAGCCAGCAGGACTCGTGAGCTGATTACTACTACAGGCAGTGTACTCCTACACAGGCAATCCCTGGTCTGGTACTGGACCTTTTTCCTTTGGAAAGATGAGTGGTTTGCTAGCTTTTTTTTAAAAAAACACCAAACTGCTTTTGTACTCAGGTTTACACAGAAGGCATGAAAACAAGCGCAATTTATTTTGAAATGCAAATCCCAATGGAAACACAGCAGCTGTAAAAACTATGCAAATTTTTTATTCCTGGAAACCACTTTCAACACTCCTTTTGCTTACTAAAATGAATGGAAATAAATTTAGACAATAATTTAAGAAATAATTAAATTGAAAAAAGCTTACTAAAATTAATTTTGAAGTATTTGGTACTGCCTTTTAATTGAGAATGGCCATATTTTATCAAGATATTTTATTTAAAATTCCATTGAGTACCAGAGGTAAAATTCACATTATAGAGTCCAGTTCTGACTGAATTAAAACCGTCTACCCCTATCACATAAGAATAAAGAACTGCACAAAGATCCTTAAAAAAGAAAAAACACAACCAAGTCAAGCCTCTCTAAATCCTTCTACTCCATTTCTTCATCCTCCATTATTACCAGTTTCACTACATCCTATTTAGAAACCCACCTGATTTTGAAGAAGCTATTTTGCTTATGGTATGCTGTTCAAACATTACACGATCAACAATGCCTTTGACACGTACTAATAGTTTATAGTTGGCAGAACACCAAATCTTGAGAATAAAATACTTCACCTCATCAAAGCCAGCAGCTTGTAAGTCTTGCAGCATTTGTCGATTAACTTCTGATGTTCCTTTGACAGCCGATGTTGTTTCGTTTGCAAAAGGCAGAAGCGAGTTTCTTATCTCCTGCAAAACTTTATGATACGTTACAAATTTGGGGGGATTTCGGCCTTGTCTAGGATCTTCAGATAACATTTTGCCCATGCTGTGATCAGCTTTAGCAGCATCTGAGGGTTTAGGTAAATTTCTGAGGCTCTCTCGTATTTCCTGTAGCATCTGCTGGCTGCTGCCAGTATAGTTACTGGCAGGAAAAGTCTTAGGCCTCATTTGTCTATAACCTTCTGGCTTCTCACTTCTCTTCATGAAAACATGTATATATGCAACCTCCACCAAGGACTTGCACACATCAAAATTCAAGGAAGACTGGGTGGTAGTTTCAGAACTTGAGAAAGCAGGGGCTCTTCACTATGAAAGCGTGGTTCCTGTAGTGCTGGAGTGCGTCACAACCCAAAACTGCTATCCTGTCACCAAAACAAACAAACAAAAAAATCCCATTATGCACCCAGCAGTGAAAAAGTTTTACAATGTAGTTCTGGTGGTAGTGAAACATTCACAGGCAGCACTGCCTTCGCAGTTATTAAAAGCATGCCAAGAAATTTCTTCAGGCAGTCTTTACTCAACCTCGATTACAAACTGTGTTGGGCATCCAGCAGCCCGTTAACAAAACACGTTTAAGGTGCCTCAAGTCCAAACAGCCCTCAACTGCAAAAAGATGGGGACAGGGAGAAGAGGAACTCAGTGTGGTGGACAAAGCTCTGAGGAGCAGCTATGATCCACTCTGTGTGCTGCCCCATCTCTGCTTCTTTGCCTCCCCTCTCTGCTGTGTGCTGCCTCCATTCATCACCTGCCTGCTCTCCAGCCACACTTGCACAGCTGAAGACACCAACCCTACTACCCGGTAAGCTACGATACGGAGCGAGTAACTCCAGGTGTTCAACAGGTCTGACACCAAGCTCCACAAATCGAGAGAGGTGAGAAGTACACCAGGGAGAGTATATCATTACCACGCATTTACTTTTTACATAGGTGACTGCTAAAGAATGGATAAACTCACTGGGCACAACTTCATTATTTCTTGTACCATCTGCTTCTTAAAATCTGTTTAAGGTTTCAGTTTTCCAAGGCTGTCACAGTCTCATAGCTCGGGACTCCTTCAAGCAGTCTTTGTCAACATATAAGTAATTTTAAAATTTATTTTACACAATGGAAGATGAGAGCAGAGGGAAAAAGAAACCTTAATCAAGCTTTTTTTAAGGTAAAATTATTTAACAACTCAAGCATCAAATTCACTGAGAGCATAGCTGTGACATTTGGTAAGGGAAACAGAACTTTCTGCCAAGAACAAATAAAAAACGTTTGCATTTTGAAGGCGCTGACTCATCAGGGAAAGAGCCCTGTGTCTGCAGAGAACTCAAATCTCTACAGTTTTCTCTACAGTAGAACTGCAACTGATATGATAAAGGACAGAGCAACTGAAGTCAAACAGTGAAGAAGTTACAGAACATTTTCCTCTTTAGAGTATCATGAAATAAAACTTCTTAACTGATCTGTGGAGCGGTAGAGACTGCAAAGATAGTGCAAGATACAAAAATTCCTTATTTTAGTGCTGTCTTTCCTTCTAAGGCAGCAAGAAAAACAGTAAAGCTCAACTCATACTGCTCCTTTCCTGTAATGGAATGCCTAACAGTAGCAATACTGAAATGTTATTTTCTTGTTTCTCAGAGCATTAAAAATTTGCATTTCTAATTTTATGAAGGATTATTTTTGAGGATTCAGATGTCTGCAAGCACCTTCTGTCTCTTAAAGAAGTAGTGTGTAGGTAAGTGTTTCTCACATAGGCATTAACCAAATAGGTTTCCGAGTTTCACACCGTCTACATAAAAATCACTCTTTCTTCACAGAGGCTTCACTGCTACAATATTTGCACTGTCATAAACCAACTAATGATTCAGTGATTGAGGAAGAATACGACAAGAATTTAACAGAAAAAAAACAACCTCTAATACACAAGCAGATTATATGAACTAAATGCACATGCTACCTATATATGAGTAACACCTGAAAGCTTAAAGTAATAAATAAGGACTATGAAAAGAACCAATGGATACCCACTTAATCCCACCCCTCCTGGAGAACACTTATGTAACAATAGAATTGCTCTACTGGAACTGTCTAAATCTTAGGTGCTATAACAGCATCCCCAAGTTTTCTTTGCCCTGAGACAGGTTTGAAACCATAAATCAACCCAATTTGATATTAAAGCTTTTTCCTGCAGTTCAGTAGCATACAATTCTTCAGTGCTCACTGAATAAAGAAAAGATCATCAGACATGTAAGTTAATTTCAATTATAAACAATGAAGCTTTGCTCAAAGTATTATGAAATTCAGCAGAAAGTATGGCATGAGAGCATTTAAAATGTAATTTAATTTTGGCTGCTTTCAAAATAATTATCATAACATGCCATATTTAAGACCACTTTGAAAACACCTTGTTCAAAAATACTTTTTTCTGAAGAAAATGAATTATATTTAGACCATGTTACTAGGTTTGCTATTGGATGATCCTCTTCTTTCCAAGATACCTACTTCAAAAAACGTGTTAGATACCCAAGTGCAAGGAGGTAACACCTGAAAGAATCAGCACCTCCAGAGAAGTGAAACTTGTAGCACACACGCATCCCACACGTCTCTCACAGTGTCACATATATAGCAATGAGAGAAGGGAAAAAAAATTATCCATAAGTGACGTTTTCCTTTTAATTAGTTCCAAATACCTGGAATGCAGGAGAAAACAGTTGGTTTGCACCTATGTATTTTACAATAATTTCATCTGGCATTTCAATATTCATTTTTTGGTTACACCACAGGTACCCAAGACAAGCACATGTAACACGCTTAAGAGAAACCAAGGTTAAATTAACAGGACATTTAGACCACAAACCAGAAGACCTAGAGTCTACCATCTGGCTAGATGGGCAAATCAGCTTGTGCTCCAGTTCCTGTAGGTGCAAAACAGAGAATTGTACTTCTTTCTAAAGTGCTTTGAAAACTGTAAGACAAGTGTTTGTTTTGTTGCTGACAACTGCAGTGTAACAGGACATGGACTAAGCAGTCTTGGAAAATAAAGCTGCACTTTCACATGTTTCCAGCAGAAGCAGAGTTTTACCAGCTTAAACCAGCCAGTCCACTTATCTCCCACCACTCACTAGCACCAGCACAATAGTCTGTTAGGGGCACCAGACTGAATCAAACTACAGAACTTACCCAGATACATAGTAACTGGGGTTTTTTTTAGGGTTATTCTTTTTTTTTCCAACAGGGATGGGTAACAGCAGTTTGGTGTATATGTGGAACTACAATCTTCATTGCTCAGAAATTAAATTGGTCCTCCAGTTCAATGAAGTACAGAAGTGAGTTCACCTTACTTCACATACAACTCTCAAATTTCAGAAGTCACTTCCACTTGGAGACCGACATTTTGATACACTTTAAAGCAAAGAAGTTTTGACTGCTGAGTAAGAAACCTATCTCAATTTTGTATGTCTAACCAGCAAACACAAACTGTATCCAAGGAAACTGACATCTACTCCCCCTTGCAGTTTTGTGTCCTAAATGTCAGTGAGAGGTCTGTGGTAATACAGATGACAAAGTTCTCTACTTCTTAAAAAAAACAGTTTTTAATTTCTTTTCAAAATATGGAGATTTTTTTTCTATAGGTCTTACTGCAAGGAAAAAAACACAAACAAAACCAGCTTGTCTTTTTACACTATCATCATGAAAGAGTGGATTTAAAAAATAGGCATTTGAATGAAAACTCAGAATGATTGCATGCAACAACCATCAGTAACTTCAAAGCTTTTCTGGGGAAAAAAAAACCCAACATAGCTTTGTAATAGATCTGTAACATTTCTTATCTGCAAAGATTTTGAGCATCATTTTAAATACTTGTGTTTCCAATTATCAAACGCCACACATTTATCTATTTTGGTTAACTTTCTCATGTACCTACTTTAATAACTCATATATAATCACAATGCTTCGTTAGTAGGGAAAAAAAATCAACTTTGGAAGACATAAGTTTATAGGGGTTTTGTTCAAACCAACAGAAAGAAGCCATTCTTCAGATAACAGGTCATTAAGACATAAAGCAATCTACCAAAGGATGCTTTTCCAACACTAAAAGTTTCCATAGAACGAGAAGAAAACGGGGCTCTGAAATTAGTAAGTAAACGACTACATACGGCCAGGGAAGACTGAGCTGGAAATGGCCAGAGGCTGGCTGAATGGACCGGCAACACTGCATTTCTCTGGTCGCTGCGTTCTTACACTCTGCGTCTCCTTCGGCGGGGCACAGCTCTCCTCACGCACAGGCGCATGCCAAGCTACCCTCGGCGGCGGCAGCGGCGATCCCGAGCGCACGTAAGCGGCCTGCACGGCTACCGG